CCCTCTCATACAGTACCTACATGGGTCAATACATATTCTCAGAACGAGGCCAGGGACGATCCATCACTTTGTCGACCTACAAGCTGGCTGCAGACGACAGCAACAAGAAAAACGTTTCAGTCTTCATTGTAGGCAGACGTGACATGAACCGTTTTCATTGGCTGGCCGGAAACCAATCGTTGGCCCGTTTGTCTTGACATCTGTCTGACATAACTGTCTCACATACTGTCTGACTTACTGTCTCACATACTGTCTTACATACTGTCTGACCTACTGTCTCACATACTGTCTCACATACTGTCTCTCATATTATCTTACAAACTGTCTTACAAACTGTCTTACAAACTGTCTTACATACTGTCTTACAAACTGTCTTACATACTGTCTTACAAACTGTCTTACAAACTGTCTTACAAACTGTCTTACATACTGTCTTACAAACTGTCTTACAAACTGTCTTACATACTGTCTGACATACTGTCTGACTTACTGTCTGACTTACTGTCTGACTTACTGTCTGACTTACTGTCTCACATACTGTCTGACATAACTGTCTCACATACTGTCTGACTTACTGTCTCACATACTGTCTGACATACTGTCTGATTTACTGTCTGACTTACTGTCTCACATACTGTCTCACATACTGTCTCACATACTGTCTCTCATATTATCTTACAAACTGTCTTACAAACTGTCTTACATACTGTCTTACAAAATGTCTTACATATTGTCTTACATACTGTCTTACAAACTGTCAGGTCAGGAAACCCATTGATGGTCGAGGGTTATAGTTAGGATTAAAGTTAAGATAAAATTTAGGTTTAAAGTTAGGATAAAATTTAGGATTAAAGTTAGGATTAAATTTAGGAATAAAGTTAGGATAAAATTTAGGAATAAAGTTAGGATAAAATTTAAGATTAAAGTTAGGATAAAATTTAGGATTAAAGTTAGGATTAAATTTAGGATTAAAGTTAGGATAAAATTTAGGATTAAAGTTAGGATAAAATTTAGGATTAAAGTTAGGATTAAATTTAGAATTAAAGTTAGGATAAAATTTAGAATTAAAGTTAGGATAAAATTTAGGATTTAAGTTAGGATTAAATTTAGGATTAAAGTTAGGATAAAATTTAGGATTAAAGTTAGGATTAAATTTAGGATTAAAGTTAGGATTAAATTTAGAATTAAAGTTAGGATTAAATTTAGGATTAAAGTTAGGATAAAATTTAGGATTAAAGTTAGGATAAAATTTAAGATTAAAGTTAGGATTAAATTTAGAATTTAAGTTAGGATAAAATTTAGGATTAAAGTTAGGATTAAATTTAGGATTAAAGTTAGGATTAAATTTAGGATTAAAGTTAGGATAAAATTTAGGATTAAAGTTAGGATTACATTTAGAATTAAAGTTAAGATAAAATTTAGGATTAAAGTTAGGATTAAATTTAGGATTAAAGTTAGGATAAAATTTAGGATTAAAGTTAGGATTAAATTTAGGATTAAAGTTAGGATAAAATTTAGGATTAAAGTTAGGATTACATTTAGAATTAAAGTTAAGATAAAATTTAGGATTAAAGTTAGGATTAAATTTAGGATTAAAGTTAGGATAAAATTTAGGATTAAAGTTAGGATTAAATTTAGGATTAAAGTTAGGATTACATTTAGAATTAAAGTTAAGATAAAATTTAGGATTAAAGTTAGGATAAAATATAGGATTAAGGTTAGGATTAAATTTAGGATTAAAGTTAGGATTAAATTTAGAATTAAAGTTAGGATAAAATTTAGGATTTAAGTTAGGATTAAATTTAGGATTAAAGTTAGGATAAAATTTAGGATTAAAGTTAGGATTAAATTTAGGATTAAAGTTAGGATTAAATTTAGAATTAAAGTTAGGATTAAATTTAGGATTAAAGTTAGGATAAATTTAGAATTAAAGTTAGGATTAAATTTAGGATTAAAGTTAGGATAAAATTTAGGATTAAAGTTAGGTAAAAATTTAGGATTAAAGTTAGGATAAAATTTAGGATTAAAGTTAGGATAAAATTTAGGATTAAAGTTAGGATTAAATTTAGGATTAAAGTTAGGATAAAATTTAGGATTAAAGTTAGCATAAAATTTAGGATTAAAGTTAGGATTAAATTTAGGATTAAAGTTAGGATAAAGTTTAGGATTAAAGTTAGGATAAAATTTAGGAAACAAGTAAGGATAAAAGTTAGGCTTAAAGTTAGGATAAAATTTAGGATTAAAGTTAGGATTAAATTTAGGATTAAAGTTAGGATAAAAGTTAGGCATAAATTTAGGATCTAAGTTAGGATGTTAAGAAACGTTGGTGGATGATGAGAAAGTTTGATGGATGTTTACTAAATTTGAGGCTTTGTCTCTTAGACGTTTCGCACAAGTACAATACATCAATGTACCACTTAAACTCGAGGAGTTTGTATCGAGTATTTTTTTAAATTTGTTTGTTACGCTTGATCAGGGCAACTGCACTATAGAAAAGATACTTTATTAACTTATGGCAAAAAAAAATGGACTAAATTAGGATAGAATTTAATTTCAAATGATTTGGCGTGACTTTAACTTCTTACAGAGACTAAGTAAAATAAGAGGAAATATTTTCTCTAAATGTGTGTCTGGGATTGGCAGCGTGTTGGACAGACTTTTTTTAAAAGTTGCGGGTTCTAAAACAATGCAGCCATCATTTTTTAAAATCTTTCTATGCAAATGGTACACAGTGAAAATTCCACCGCTCGTAAATTGTTCCAATCCGTTGTTGTTATTTCTACATTAACTTTAATGATATATTAATTAATTATTCCTATTAGATCTGTTTCCGGGCAGACGAGGCTCGATAGCTGGTGACAGACACACAACTCCGAAATCAGACAACTGCTGCTTTTATTTTGTCTTTGTTTGGACACAGGCTGAAGCCATATTGAGCTGCTTATATGGTGCATAAAAAGTTGACATTCAACACTTAATTGTGTTGGAAAAAAATTTCTTCCCTCGGTACACATCATCACAAAAAGCCACCCCCACACCCCCCCCCTCGAATCCTATAACCCCTCTAAAAATTGTAGTTGAATTTTTTAGCATCGATTTTATTTCTAAATATTGACTGAGCTCTGTAAACATAGATTATTTTAATCAATTTCTATTACAATTTATTAAAACAGTTTTCTAAAATAAGAAATAAATGTCTAAATTTCAATTTCTAATATAACTTTTTTGAAGTGCAAAAGTGTGACGTCAAATTATCCGATTCTCTCCTCCAATTCATCACACAACGTCACAAAATTACGAACCCCCTCACCCACTCCGAGTGTGGCGTCATTTTTGGGGGGATTACTGTGGGGCCTCAGGATGCTGCTCTTTCAGCCCCCGCCCGTTACATTTTATCCGCCATTAAAATGCTTCAAAACTTTTTAACCTGAGAAGTGCGTTGAAAATTGAGGATTTTTTACAATTTTTTATTTAGTTCCCAACGTCTGTTTTTTTTTTTTTTTTTTTTTTTTTTTTTTTTTTTTTTTTTTTTTGTGGGTTTGTGGTAAATCTTGTAAATCAATGTAGACCCACTTCTATTGTAGCGAATTCGTTCAAACTTTCCAGATACGTTCTTCTTCGATGAAATACAAGTCTATTTACTTTTAAAATTCAATTAGATGTTTAATTAGTTATTAAAATTAATTAATTAAATCACTCAATAACAGAATGGGAAGAGAACTAGGCCCAATAGGTAGATCATGGTTCACCAGATTATTTGCAATCGTAGAGCGGGTCGATCTAGTCAAGTCTGTTAGGGGCAGATAAAAACGTTTTTAAAGTATATGAAACCAAAGATATGTAGCAAGATAAATGACTATCCTTTGCTTGATCAACTTGCTATCGTCTGTAAACTGTGGTCACGGACGGCTGGTTTACAAGGAGCAGACAATCGTCTTTTAGATAGCGCGAGCTAATGATGGTGTTTTCAAGCAAATATTTTTAGTCGTGTTTACTTTATAAATTAGAAAACACTAAAAAGTAAAAAAAAATAAACCGGGAGTGATCTCCCCTAAACTTTCTCGAATATTCTTATATAAAATAACAGGGGATGGGAACTCGGGCTATAGACATGATTTTTAATCCATTTTAAATACTTAAAGTTTTAAAAATAGAATAAAATCTCGTAGAAAAATTAATTGCACACCAAGTGAACGCGAAATAAAAAAGCGCATAATAGTGCGCAATATTATTATTACTTTTAAAATTTACATTAGTTTTTTGAGAAATCGGAAGTAGCGTAAAGTACTACTTCCAGTCAACGGAAATGACTCAAAATTTAATAGAAGGTAGAGAATTAGATCTTTTACTTACGTATGAAATTTCATTTATCTATCTGAAATAGTACTCAAGTTATAGGCTTTTGAAAAATTCAAAGTAGGAAAAGTACCACTTCCGGTTATCGGAAATCGCTCAAAAGTTGATACGGATCTACGATTTTGATTAAAAACTTATATATGAAATTTCATCAACCTAGCTGTAACGGTACTCAAGTTATCGTGTTTACACACGGACACACACACACACACAGACACACAGACATACGGACAAGATTGCAAAATTATGTTTTTCCGTATCAGTGAGATGCAAAACGTCGAGATTTGCAAAAATCTCGATTTTTTTTTTGCACGATTACAAGACTTTCTCTATACTTCGTATATACGAGAAAGTAATAAAACAAACGAGCCGCCATTTAGTTGTTGTATTTCTACTTTTCAGTAATTTATAATTTTGAATTCGAAGGAGTAGCCCTTCTGCTTATTTATGATTATAGTCTGTCCTGTTTATACCAACCTTGTCCAGATAATATTTTATAGTCTGTCCTGTTTATACCAACCTAGTCAAGATAATATTTTATAGTCGTGTATAAAAAAAAAACGTCGCCATAAAACGATCAGAGAAAAGCCTAATCGCAGACTAAAGCAAGCGTGCGGGAAGCGGAGCTAAAGCTCAAGTTTGTTGATTTTACGGCCATGTTTGGACGTGTTTCTTATCTGGCGAATTTCTGGCTTCATTCAAGCTATTTATTACCTGCTCGTGGGAGCTGCGATCACGACAATTGACCATCAGATGGACGGGTAACTCTAGCTTGTGTACTAACATGCATGTACAATGTGTACTAGATATACAAGTAGCTTTAGATTATGTAGTAGCATGTGTACAATGTGTACTAGATATACAAGTAGCTTTAGATTATGTAGTAGCATGTGTACAATGTGTACTAGATATACAAGTAGCTTTAGATTATGTAGTAGCATGCATGTACAATGTGTACTAGATATACAAGTAGCTTTAGATTATGTAGTAGCATGCATGTACAATGTGTACTAGATATACAAGTAGCTTTAGATTATGTAGTAGCATGCATGTACAATGTGTACTAGATATACAAGTAGCTTTAGATTATGTAGTAGCATGCATGTACAATGTGTACTAGATATACAAGTAGCTTTAGATTGTATAGTAGCATGCATGTACAATGTGTACTAGATATACAAGTAGCTTTAGATTGTATAGTAGCATGCATGTACAATGTGTACTAGATATACAAGTAGCTTTAGATTATATAGTAGCATGCATGTACAATGTGTACTAGATATACAAGTAGCTTTAGATTATGTAGTAGCATGCATGTACAATGTGTACTAGATATACAAGTAGCTTTAGATTATGTAGTAGCATGCATGTACAATGTGTACTAGATATACAAGTAACTCTAGCTTGTGTACTAACATGCATGTACAATGTGTACTAGATATACAAGTAGCTTTAGATTATGTAGTAGCATGCATGTACAATGTGTACTAGATATACAAGTAGCTTTAGATTGTATAGTAGCATGCATGTACAATGTGTACTAGATATACAAGTAGCTTTAGATTATGTAGTAGCATGCATGTACAATGTGTACTAGATATACAAGTAGCTTTAGATTGTATAGTAGCATGCATGTACAATGTGTACTAGATATACAAGTAGCTTTAGATTATGTAGTAGCATGCATGTACAATGTGTACTAGATATACAAGTAGCTTTAGATTGTATAGTAGCATGCATGTACAATGTGTACTAGATATACAAGTAGCTTTAGATTATGTAGTAGCATGCATGTACAATGTGTACTAGATAAAAAGTAGCTTTAGATTATATAGTAGCATGCATGTACAATGTGTACTAGATATACAAGTAGCTTTAGATTATGTAGTAGCATGCATGTACAATGTGTACTAGATATACAAGTAGCTTTAGATTATGTAGTAGCATGCATGTACAATGTGTACTAGATAAAAAGTAGCTTTAGATTATGTAGTAGCATGCATGTACAATGTGTACTAGATATACAAGTAGTTTTAGATTATGTAGTAGCATGCATGTACAATGTGTACTAGATATACAAGTAGCTTTAGATTGTATAGTAGCATGCATGTACAATGTGTACTAGATATACAAGTAGTTTTAGATTATGTAGTAGCATGTGTACAATGTGTACTAGATATACAAGTAGCTTTAGATTATGTAGTAGCATGCATGTACAATGTGTACTAGATATACAAGTAGTTTTAGATTATGTAGTAGCATGTGTACAATGTGTACTAGATATACAAGTAGCTTTAGATTATGTAGTAGCATGCATGTACAAAGTGTACTAGATATACAAGTAACTCTAGCTTGTGTAGTAGCATGCCTAGTCTATTATAATCATATTTGAAGGTCGAGTGACTGGTGGTCTTCTTGAATTAAGGCCCCTATTACAAACTTATTTTAAGAACTCAAGATTCTGAGATTTGAAAACAAACGTTTACCCATAAGAGTGCAGGGGTTCACAATCTGTCAAACGATTTTGGCGCTTTTACAAGATATGAGTAAATTGTAAGACAGAATAACCATTGCTCTAAACAATTGAATGATCTATGTGACACAATGGTGGCTAGAAACAGTTCAAATGTGAAAAACATAAATTACAGTTACGTAGGTTAAATAGATATGTATGCTACATTTTTGCTAATCTTGCATTCTTACCTTTAGTGTCTTTACAACCGTTTTTCACAACTGTAACATTTCTCTAATTTTTTACCTTGTAAAATTGATGTAATCAATAACCGCCTTCAATGGTCGACATCACATTTTAATAACAAATGGGAGGACTTGACACAGCTTTTTAAAAGACCAACATTCTTATATAAGGTAATGATAAAGGTTTATTTCCAAGCAAACTGCAAAGTGCAAATACAACTGCAATTAGGCTCGGACCATTAATGTATATGCACATTGTTACAATAGTAAAATCCATTTCACATCTCGCCCCCCCCCCCTTCTATTCTAGGTGAGCCGGTAACATAACATTACGCCTTGTTAAACTTGAAACTATTCACCAATAAAGCGGGAGTGATCTCCCCTAAACGTTCTCGAATATTCTTATATAACACTTCAGGGTATGGCAACTAGGTATATAGACACGATTTTTAATCCATTTTTAATTATTTAAACTGTTGAAAATAGAATAGAATCTCTAGGAAAAAAAATTGCGCACGAAGTGAACGGCAAACATTATGAGTATAATAGTGCGGAATATTATTTGTACTTTATAATTTCATTATATGCGTTTTTTTGAGAAATCGGAAATAGCATAAATTACTACTTCTGCTAAACGTAAATTACTGAAACTTTGAAAGAAGACAGAGACATAGACATTTTACTTATATATGCAATAGCGTGTATCTATCTGAAACAGGACTCAAGTTATTGGCTTTTAAAAAACTAAAAGTCGAAAATCGCTGAAAACTTGACACAGAACTACACATTTTATATAATACTTATATTTGAAATTTTATTAAGCTAGCGGTAACTGTACTCAAGTTATCGTGTTGACAGACACACACACACACACACATATACAAAGTTACGGACATAAATGCAAAACCCAGTTTTTCCGACTCGATTACGCACAAAACGCCTAAATTTTGATAAATCTTGATTTAAAATTTTTAAAGTATTTCCCGTAAACTCCGTTTATGATGAAGTAGGTCCTACTGAGGTGTAAAACGATGAAAACTGTCAAAATTTCATATGGTTTTAGTGCACGATTACAATACTTCCTCTATACTATGTATACGAGAAAGTAAAAATATAGGGTTAAAGAACACACCAAAACATAAAATCGATAAAAGTATTTATTTTATAGCAGTATACATTATTTCAAGCTGCACACCGTGTATTATATTTTTAATAAATCAACGCTAAAACTAAACCATCCTTGAACTTGGCGAGATTTTTTAAAATGTATAACTATACCAAAAAATTGTTGACACTCATGACAAAAATTGCAATTACGTCACCTTTTACATTTACCAGATATAGGCTAAATATTCAGCAATGCTAAAATGATAATAAAAATAAGTTGCTATTGATTTTCAAAGTTCCCTCTTTCAGAAAGAAAAAAAAATAGAACTGATTAATCCGAAAGAAAGATTCCGCTTCACACTGAAGGGGGAGGGGGGAGGGGTATGGTGGGGTGTGGTGGGGTTGCTCATAGGGAAAAAAAGCTGAAAAATAACATCAAGGTGTAATCATTGATCGGAGTTATAGCCTCAATAACTAATATATGTAGCCTTCTGAAGGGAAAAACAAAAACTTGAGCGATAAACGTATTTATTTTGCAGCTACAGATTATTTCAGTTTCGTTTTGTGATCTATGAGTTCAAGACACAGAACCCTGCCACATTATGTAATGTCAACAACTCTAAAAATGACATAGAGGGCTGTATGAGATATATTGTGTAATATCACTTACTCTAAAAATGATATAGAACTAGAGGGCTGTAACTTAAAATTTGACAGGTTCCAAGCGTATAACAGCCATTTACTTTCTCGTGGGCGGGGTAGAGAGGAAGTATTGTAATCGTGCAAAAAATAGAAATCGAGATTTTTACAAATCTCAACGTCTTTTACCTTCCTGAGTACGCCCGTATGTCTAAAAAACTGATACAGAACTACAAATTTGATTTAATACTTATATATGCAATTTCATCAACCTAGCTGTAACGGTACTCAAGTTTTTGTGTTAACTGACGGACACTAGTGTGTCTAACTGGTGTGTCTAACTGGTGTGTCTAACTGGTGTGTCTAACTGGTGTGTCTACAGCTAACTGGTGTGTTTAACTGGTGTGTCTAACTGGTGTGTCTAACTGGTGTGTCTAACTGGTGTGTCTAACTGGTGTGTCTAACTGGTGTGTCTAACTGGTGTGTCTAACTGGTGTGTCTAACTGGTGTGTCTAACTGGTGTGTCTAACTGGTGTGTCTACAGCTAACTGGTGTGTTTAACTGGTGTGTCTAACTGGTGTGTCTAACTGGTGTGTCTAACTGGTGTGTCTAACTGGTGTGTCTAACTGGTGTGTCTAACTGGTGTGTCTAACTGGTGTGTCTAACTGGTGTGTCTAACTGGTGTGTCTACAGCTAACTGGTGTGTCTAACTGGTGTGTCTACAGCTAACTGGTGTGTCTAACTGGTGTGTCTAACTGGTGTGTCTAACTGGTGTGTCTAACTGGTGTGTCTACAGCTAACTGGTGTGTCTACAGCTAACTGGTGTGTCTACAGCTAACTGGTGTGTCTACAGCTAGCTGGTGTGTCTAACTGGTGTGTCTAACTGGTGTGTCTAACTGGTGTGTCTAACTGGTGTGTCTACAGCTAACTGGTGTGTCTAACTGGTGTGTCTAACTGGTGTGTCTAACTGGTGTGTCTAACTGGTGTGTCTAACTGGTGTGTCTACAGCTAACTGGTGTGTCTAACTGGTGTGTCTAACTGGTGTGTCTAACTGGTGTGTCTAACTGGTGTGTCTACAGCTAACTGGTGTGTTTAACTGGTGTGTCTAACTGGTGTGTCTAACTGGTGTGTCTAACTGGTGTGTCTAACTGGTGTGTCTAACTGGTGTGTCTAACTGGTGTGTCTAACTGGTGTGTCTACAGCTAACTGGTGTGTTTAACTGGTGTGTCTAACTGGTGTGTCTAACTGGTGTGTCTAACTGGTGTGTCTAACTGGTGTGTCTAACTGGTGTGTCTAACTGGTGTGTCTAACTGGTGTGTCTAACTGGTGTGTCTAACTGGTGTGTCTACAGCTAACTGGTGTGTCTAACTGGTGTGTCTACAGCTAACTGGTGTGTCTAACTGGTGTGTCTAACTGGTGTGTCTAACTGGTGTGTCTAACTGGTGTGTCTAACTGGTGTGTCTAACTGGTGTGTCTACAGCTAACTGGTGTGTCTAACTGGTGTGTCTACAGCTAACTGGTGTGTCTAACTGGTGTGTCTAACTGGTGTGTCTAACTGGTGTGTCTAACTGGTGTGTCTACAGCTAACTGGTGTGTCTACAGCTAACTGGTGTGTCTACAGCTAACTGGTGTGTCTACAGCTAACTGGTGTGTCTAACTGGTGTGTCTAACTGGTGTGTCTAACTGGTGTGTCTACAGCTAACTGGTGTGTCTAACTGGTGTGTCTAACTGGTGTGTCTAACTGGTGTGTCTAACTGGTGTGTCTAACTGGTGTGTCTACAGCTAACTGGTGTGTCTAACTGGTTTGTCTAACTGGTGTGTCTAACTGGTGTGTCTACAGCTAAATGGTGTGTCTACAGCTAACTGGTGTGTCTACAGCTAACTGGTGTGTCTAACTGGTGTGTCTACAGCTAACTGGTGTGTCTACAGCTAACTGGTGTGTCTACAGCTAACTGGTGTGTCTACAGCTAACTGGTGTGTCTACAGCTAACTGGTGTGTCTACAGCTAACTGGTGTGTCTAACTGGTGTGTTTACAGCTAACTGGTGTGTCTACAGCTAACTGGTGTGTCTAACTGGTGTGTCTAACTGGTGTGTCTACAGCTAACTGGTGTGTCTAACTGGTGTGTCTACAGCTAACTGGTGTGTCTAATTGGTGTGTCTAACTGGTGTGTCTAACTGGTGTGTCTACAGCTAACTGGTGTGTCTAACTGGTGTGTCTACAGCTAACTGGTGTGTCTAACTGGTGTTTCTAACTGGTGTGTCTACAGCTAACTGGTGTGTCTAATTGGTGTGTCTACAGCTAACTGGTGTGTCTACAGCTAACTGGTGTGTCTACAGCTAACTGGTGTGTCTAACTGGTGTGTCTAACTGGTGTGTCTAACTGGTGTGTCTAACTGGTGTGTCTAACTGGTGTGTCTAACTGGTGTGTCTAACTGGTGTGTTTAACTGGTGTGTCTACAGCTAACTGGTGTGTCTAACTGGTGTGTCTACAGCTAACTGGTGTGTCTAACTGGTGTGTCTAACTGGTGTGTCTAACTGGTGTGTCTAACTGGTGTGTCTACAGCTAACTGGTGTGTCTACAGCTAACTGGTGTGTCTACAGCTAACTGGTGTGTCTACAGCTAACTGGTGTGTCTAACTGGTGTGTCTAACTGGTGTGTCTAACTGGTGTGTCTACAGCTAACTGGTGTGTCTAACTGGTGTGTCTAACTGGTGTGTCTAACTGGTGTGTCTAACTGGTGTGTCTAACTGGTGTGTCTAACTGGTGTGTCTACAGCTAACTGGTGTGTCTAACTGGTGTGTCTAACTGGTGTGTCTAACTGGTGTGTCTACAGCTAACTGGTGTGTCTACAGCTAACTGGTGTGTCTACAGCTAACTGGTGTGTCTAACTGGTGTGTCTAACTGGTGTGTCTACAGCTAACTGGTGTGTCTACAGCTAACTGGTGTGTCTACAGCTAACTGGTGTGTCTACAGCTAACTGGTGTGTCTACAGCTAACTGGTGTGTCTAACTGGTGTGTCTACAGCTAACTGGTGTGTCTACAGCTAACTGGTGTGTCTAACTGGTGTGTCTAACTGGTGTGTCTACAGCTAACTGGTGTGTCTAACTGGTGTGTCTACAGCTAACTGGTGTGTCTAATTGGTGTGTCTAACTGGTGTGTCTAACTGGTGTGTCTACAGCTAACTGGTGTGTCTAACTGGTGTGTCTACAGCTAACTGGTGTGTCTAACTAGTGTGTCTACAGCTAACTGGTGTGTCTAATTGGTGTGTCTAACTGGTGTGTCTACAGCTAACTGGTGTGTCTAACTGGTGTGTCTAACTGGTGTGTCTAACTGGTGTGTCTACAGCTAACTGGTGTGTCTAATTGGTGTGTCTACAGCTAACTGGTGTGTCTACAGCTAACGGGTGTGTCTACAGCTAACTGGTGTGTCTAACTGGTGTGTCTAACTGGTGTGTCTAACTGGTGTGTCTAACTGGTGTGTCTACAGCTAACTGGTGTGTCTACAGCTAACTGGTGTGTCTAATTGGTGTGTCTACAGCTAACTGGTGTGTCTAATTGGTGTGTCTAACTGGTGTGTCTAACTGGTGTGTCTACAGCTAACTGGTGTGTCTACAGGTAACTGGTGTGTCTACAGCTAACTGGTGTGTCTAACTGGTGTGTCTAACTGGTGTGTCTAACTGGTGTGTCTACAGCTAACTGGTGTGTCTAACTGGTGTGTCTACAGCTAACTGGTGTGTCTACAGCTAACTGGTGTGTCTAACTGGTGTGTCTAACTGGTGTGTCTAACTGGTGTGTCTACAGCTAACTGGTGTGTCTACAGCTAACTGGTGTGTCTACAGCTAACTGGTGTGTCTACAGCTAACTGGTGTGTCTAACTGGTGTGTCTAACTGGTGTGTCTAACTGGTGTCTCTAACTGATGTGTCCACAGCTAACCAACGACGCCTGAGGAATCAAACTTCTCGCGTGCAGAGACTTGCCTGCGCGTTCATCACTTGGTGAGTAGGCGAAGTAGCGGTCGCAGCATACATCGAGACAACGTTTGTGTGACTGAACTGAAATTTCTCAAACGGATTTTCTCAAGGTGTGGGTTAGCCGTTAAATTTCAACTGATATGAAGGAAAAGGTACGTAATTTTTTAAATACATTTCATCTTGCCTTTCTTTCAACTATTGTGGACATTTAGCTGATTGTTTAGAAATAAACACATTTTATCTTTAATTTTTGCAATCGTAGATCAATTGGCCATCATATAGTCAAATAGGTGGATAAATTAAAAAATAATAAGTTTGGTTTAATTGGTGGAACTTAAGTTAAAATTTTAGTCGTCTTTTAATGGTAATCGAAAGTTTAGTTTACGGTCACTTTAAGACAACACATATGTTTACTTCCTTTAGATATGTACCGTTCTCTACTTTGTAATAAAAATGCACATAAACTTGAAGCAAACACATTCCTGTTCCTACCACCAATAGTAATGCTCACACAAACTTTGCTAAATAAATCAAATATTTAACTTGCATTTTCTAAAGTTGATCTGAGTCTTCTTAATTAGTAATTAGATCTTTTTATTAGATCTTCTAAACTTGATTTACCTGAAGCTCTAAAAGCACGAAATGTTTTGAATGAGGACAAATCTCTAACCTATTTGGTTAATCAAACACGACAAACTTTCTAATAAGACAAATCTCTAACCTATTTGGTTAATCAAACACGACAAACTTTGTAATAAGACAAATCTCTAACCTATTTGGTTAATCAAACACGACAAACTTTCTAATAAGACAAATCTCTAACCTATTTGGTTAATCAAACACGACAAACTTTCTAATAAGACAAATCTCTAACCTATTTGGTTAATCAAACACGACAAACTTTCTAATAAGACAAATCTCTAACCTTTTTGGTTAATCAAACACGACAAACTTTCTAATAAGACAAATCTCTAACCTATTTGGTTAATCAAACACGACAAACTTTCTAATAAGACAAATCTCTAACCTATTTGGTTAATCAAACACGACAAACTTTGTAATAAGACAAATCTCTAACCTATTTGGTTAATCAAACACGACAAACTTTGTAATAAGCTTTCCACGACACCAAAGATAGCAACATACAACAAACTTGCTTTCTTTAATAAAACACTGGTTGCTAAAATATAAAGAAGTAGTCATGAGTGACCAATGCTTTCATTAAAGACATTGTTTTATTTTCTTTTGTTCGGTACATTTAAAAGCTCTTTATTATAAATGTTATATATCTATTTTATTTCCTAGTGGTATATTTCAGAAGTTTAAAAACTAAAACTAAAAATTCAATATTTAAAAAAAAAACATTAGCTTAAACATTTGCTTTAAACCCATACTGGCAACGAACATTAATACTTTACGACTTGTAACATTTGCTTTAAAAAGAGAATAGCAACATTAATACTTTACGACTTGTAACATTTGCTTTAAAAAGAGAATAGCAACAAACAGTAGCAACTTACAAAACTGGAAGAAAAAACAGTTTACCCCACCTCACCCCAGTTAACCCCACATCACCCCACCCCTCTTCACCCCACCTCACCCCAGTCCACCCCACATCACCCCAGTCCACCCCACCTCACCCCACCTCACCCCAGTCCACCCCAGTCCACCCCACCTCACCCCAGTTCACCCCACCTCACCCTACCTCACCCTACCTCACCTCACGCCACCCCACATCACCCCACCCCAGTCCACCCCACCTCACTCCACATCACCCTACCTCACCCCACCTCACCCCATCTCACCCCACCTCACTCCACCCCACCTCACCCTAGTTCACCCCAGTTCACCTCACTCCACATCACCCTACCTCACCCCACTTCACCCCACCCCACATCATCTCACTTCACCCCACCTCACCCCACCCCACCTCATCCCACCTTACGCCAGTCCACCCCACCTCACCCCACCTCACCCTACCCCACCTCACCCCAGTCCTCTCCAGTTCACCCCACCTCACCCCACCTCACCCCACCTCACACCAATCCACCCCACCTCACCCCACCCCACCCCACCCCACCTCACCCCAGTCCACTCCAGTTCACCTCAGTCCACTCCAGTTTAACCCACCTCACCCCACCTCACCCTACCTAACCCCACCTCACCTCACCCCACCTCACCCCACCCCACCCCACCTCACCCCACCTCACACCAATCCACCCCACCTTACCCCAGTCCACTCCAGTTCACCCCACCTCACCCCACCTCACCCCACCTCACACTACCTAACCTCACCCCACCTCACCCCACCCCACCCCACCTCACCTGACGTCACTACATTTCACCGCGCGGGTAATGTGATTGCTTAATTTATTTTATTATTTAATAAATAAATATTTTAATTAGTTTTAATGACTGGTTGAATGCCTAATTGGATTAGAAATGAGACTTTCTTGTGTTGTCTTTAGAAACAAAATTTTCAGGTAAAAACGTTGCATCAAAAACTGGGTTATAATCGAGTTACAGACAGATAGAGGACCATACAAGATACACAAATTAACCTACAATCCCCCCCCCTATGAAGTGGTTATAAATTCCACACTTGTCCGTGGAGCTTGTCAATCTTACAAGTGTGTCTAATACTTGTCTAATACATTGATACAACAGCATTATTGGGGGGGGGGGTATAACGTGTAGAAAAAGACAACATTCGAGGAATAATGGCTGGGGTTAGATGGAAACAACTAACTATTATTTAAATTTTTATTAAGACAAGAACTTTGGCTAAGTTTTAATAAGAAACTGCACACTAGTACTATGGGCAGTAGAGAGATCTAGTGGAGTCCCGTCCCCCCCCCCCAACTACTGGAGTACCCCCCCCCCCCCCCCACACTACTGGAGTCCGCCACGAGTGGAGTCCCCCATTCCCCCATCAAATGCCACAGCACAAGGAATTGCCCCTCCCCCCCCCCATAAATCCGAAATAGTTCCCCTCGGACACCCGCTGGCCACACGGAGATGGTAGATACAGCACTTGGCTGTCTGTTTAGTTCCTGCCGGAATGGACGCTGGCCACACGGAGATGGTAGATACAGCACTTGGCTGTCTGTTTAGTTCCTGTCGGAATGGACGCTGGCCACACGGAGATGGTAGATACAGCACTTGGCTGTCTGTTTAGTTCCTGCCGGAATGGACGCGAAGACTTTCTTTGCACGAGCGTCGACTACCGCCAATACGGCTTGAGGAACGGGAAATACCAAAGAATAATAATGATAATGACATTGAAAACCATTGGTTTGATCAACACAGTCATACCATAGTAAGATTAAAATTTAGAAAAAAAGGCTAAATTACACAAACAAGACCCTTAGCGGCTTGCCTCAAATTCACAAGAGATGCGGCTTGCCTCAAATTCACAAGAGATGCGGCTTGCCACAAATTCACAAGAGATGCGGCTTGCCTATAAAAAACTAAGAAGCACGACGAAAGGAAATTGAAAGCTCAAAAATGATTGGGCAAAAATTGTCATAATATGTTCAACTTGATCAAATATACTTGATCAAATATACTTGATCAAATATACTTGATCAAATATACTTGATCAAATATACTTGATCAAATATACTTGATCAAAGGCGTTAGCTGTGTAGCTGAGATAATAAGAAAACAAGAAACAGCCATACAGCTAGAAGAAACAGCCATACAGCTAGAAGAAACAGGCCAGATCGAGCACTTATCTGGGAACTAAAGATTTTGACATGCTTTTTGTGCTGGCCATAACATTTGATGCTAACTTTATCGTTACTTTATCTTTATCTTTACTTTATTTTTATCTGTATCTTTGCTTTACTTTTATCTTTATTTTATCTTTACTACCCGGTGAGCACCACACATTCGCCATCTGCTCATCTAAAGACTAAAATAGCTTCAGTTCGCTCACCAGATTTTTCTTGTATACTTCCCAAAAACCATGTATTTTTACAGATGATATTACATAGTATCTGCGGTGAGATCAGATAAATATAAAGAAATCATTTGGTGAAAGATAAAAAGACAACCGGAAGGTTTAAAAAGTCGCGACCATGTACACAGCTATCACAGGGTTGGGCTGGGGAAAATCTATGTCGCCAAATGATAGGTTTCTGCTGGAAGAGATAATGAGCTTTCACTCGATACGTAGATGCCACTACCCACCACTTTCTCCCTGACGCTGGTACATTTGGTTCTGTTGTAGGGCAGACAGATTTAACAGTCGTAGGGCAGACATATCTGACTCTCGTAGGGCAGACATATCCCGCTAATCCGGTTACTGATATCTCAAATTGTACTCGTACACCAAAGCAAATTTGAGCTTGCTCGACAGCTCGTATCTAAAAAGTCTTGTATGTCGTGGCACTCGTATGTCGTGGCACTCGTATGTCGTGGCACTCGTATGTCGTGGCACTCGTATGTCGTGGCACTCGTATGTCGTGGCACTCGAATGTCGTGGCACTCGAATGTCGTGGCACTCGTATGTTGTGGCACTCGTATGTCGTGGCACTCGTATGTTGAGGTTCCACTAAGGCGAGATAACACCGTCCATGCCTAGAGTTCATGCCAAACAAAGCGGGAGTCTGTTCTATAATCTTTCTGCAATATTCGAATACAACAGTAGGGAGATATAGACATGATTTTTAATCAATTTTAAATACATTTCTTAAAATAAAATAGAATCTCGAAGATAATTGCGCACCAAACGAACAGCAAATAATGTGTGTATACTAGTTTTATAGTTATAGGCTTTTGAAAGAAACGTAATTACAATAAGTTACACTTTCGATTAGGAATGCTGAAAAGTTCATAAAGAACTACACATTTGATATAATACTTAAATATGAAATTTCATCAACATAGCTGTAACGGTACTCAAGTTATCGTGTTAACAGACACACAAACACATATATACACATACACAAACACACACACACACACACACACACACACACACACACAAGGACAGAATCGCAAAGCCCAGTTTTTCCGACTTGATGACGCATAATTCGCCGAGGTTTTGAAAATTTGGATTTAGAATTTTTGCCCGGTTAAAATAAGTCCCCTATACTCCGTATACTCCGTATATGATGAAGTACTGAGGTGTAAAAGGGCGAAAACT